ATCGGAAATAGTTTTCGGTTCGGTTACGGTTCCGGTCCATTAGTCTACATAATATTTCGGGCCGGTTTTCAGTTTCGGTTTGACTAAAATAACGGTTACGGTCCGGTTATCGGTTTCGGTTTCAGTCCGGTCCGGATCCTTGATTGTAATTATTATATCTTTGTATAAAAAAGATACAGTTTAACTTATAAGTATTTTATATATATTATATATATATATATATTTAAATAATCTATTTAATTTTCTTATCAAAAATGATTTTTAAGTATTCGGATGTTTAGATTTGTATGAATTTTCGAGATCGATTATCTGAAGCGCTATTATTGTATAATAAAACTGTCGGAATCATTTCAGAACGAAAAGTATTTGTCACTTTGTTTTCTCTCTTATTATAGACATTCAAAAAAATAAAGTCGTCAAAAATATCCAAAACGATAAAAATCACTCCGATATCTTTGAAACTGTTGAAGTTTTGTAACTCGAATTGTTTTGATTTCATCGCGTTGATTGCTGTAGATCTATCGATAATCGAAATAGCTACAATCAATAAGTCGCAATAACAATTTTGTGCAATGTGCCATCCACAGTATGTTGTAACAGAGAGAAAACTGAGAGTGGCCAAGAGTATAGGAGAATGTGTAATCGCTTTTTCGTTCTATAAGCCAGCGCAATGTTCATGGCTGGTGCACATTGGCACCTACGTAGCCATGTCCACGAACAACTTATCGGTACGTATGTTATGTTCATACGTGGATATGGTTCTATTCCGTGTTATGTCTACAACCGTGCGGTTTTTAAATTGTATCAGTTAACTCATATTACTAATTAATAGAAATATGTAATGCATCTTGATGTGTTTTATTATTATCAATAATATTATGTACTTTTTTCACGACTGTAAATCTTCATCTTTTTAAAGACACGTAACTAAAGTAACGTCACGTGACATGGAGAAAAGGGAAAACAACACGTGACTTTACTTTAGTCATGTGTCTTTAAAAACGTGAAGATTTACAGTCTCGAAAAAAGTAATAATATTATTGATAATAATAAAACACATCAAGATGCATTACATATTTCTACTAATTAGTAATACAAGTTAATTGACACATTTTAAAAACCGCGCAATTGTGGACATAGCACGGAATAGAACCATGTCCACGTTTGAACATAACATACGTACCGACAAGTCGTTCGTGGACATGGCCATGTAGTTGCCAATGTGCACCAGCCATGGACATTGCGCTGATTTACAGGACGGAAAAGCGATTACACATTCTCTTATAGGCCTGGCCGCTCTCAGTCTTCTCTCTGTTTTATTCAGTTTTATTTCTAATGAGCGATAAAGTGCGAGTGGTGTTTTGAATAACATTCCGGAACGCAGCCTCAGAGACGTCAAAGATATACAGATGCAAAAACTTCGAGCATGTACGTGCTATATGTGTATACAGTTTGAGTTGCAAAACAAGTATTTCTCTACAATCTTACACAATGGAAAGTGACATGGATGCAATAGATAATTTGCATACTATGGATAAAGGTATTACTTTACAAGACTTTATAGTTTTATGTATATATATGTGATTATACATGTATGTATTGTATTATAAGACTATAACAATGGTTTTCATTACAACAGTTGTCTTAGTAGAACAAAATAATATACCACAAGGTATACCATTAATTGACCCAACTGCTGTAGCTAAATCCACACGATATGATTTAATGGCATTGGCAGCAGAAATTGAAATGGTAATAAAATGAAAGATTTAAAAATTACTATAAGATTGTAGATTATATAGAGGAACACACGTACATGATACTATGTCTAAATAAGTTGTCTTTTTAAAGAGTATATTATGTAAATGTTTTATGTTTATAGGCAGATAACTGTATAAAAACCAATGCTTGTGGTAAGTTACAAGTAATAGCAGAACAAATTAAATGTTTGCAAAAACAAGCTGAGAGTATCTTGCTGGAAGCAGAACGAAATAAGAAATTACATCATGTAGCATGTAATTTTGTAAAAAAACCTGGTCATATATATCACTTATACAAACGAAAATCAGGCCAATTTTATTTTTCTATGCTTAGTCCAGAGGTAAGTATTACATGTTTCATACATGCATTAATTACATTAAATATGTAACTTTTGTACTTAGCATCTGCTTATGTTAATGTATATAGGAATGGGGTGATTCTGGAATGTTGCAAAGCTACAAAGGCTCTTTCAGATTAGAAAATGATCGCTCCTGGACTCCGTTGTCTCAAATAAAGGAAAAAGACAATGATTTGAATCTATTGAAAAAATTAATAAACTAATTCTTTTATTATGACATTTGTATTTATACTCTTGATTTAATATTTCCAAACATTTGTAATCTGTCATGTAAAATATTGCACATATGTACATACATACAAGTTTATTATGACGTTGCAGCATCGGCATATTATTACAAGATATTTAGACGATGTAAATTAGGATTAAAAATATGTAATGTAACATAGAAGAAATTCAATATTTTAACTACTTTGTTTTTATAATTTCTTCATGGAAATCTATTATAAACTTAGTAGACTCGGTTTATTTTAAAAGTATACTGTATATGTACACATACATGCACGCATATAACAGACACTCAAAATCATGTTTTCTTATATACGTATACACGTTCTTCCTTTCAAAATGATTTTTATTTTGTACAAGTAAATTTGTATTGTGATACACTAGAATACTTCAATACCATTGGTATAGATATAGATAATAGATTCAAATAATTAACAAACGTTCTTTCTCATATCTGCAATAAAATGCACTTTGCATCAAACTATGCGGTCATAAACCAGTATCTATCCATAATTTTCGTGCAACTACAAAATGATTTCGATCTTTTTATAATGTAGTTATCTATTTTGTTTTGTTTTTATAGGTTTACGTCATTACACTTCTTACACAGGCAACAGATGTGTTTGGATTTATTCATTTCAAACTATCTTCTGAAATTTAATAAGCAAAACCTGCATGATTGCAGCTAACAAAATTTAACAATTTGAATCTCATGAATATGTGTCATGTATATTATATGTGTGACAATACATATGACATAATATATAATATATCATGTATATTATGTACATATACACAATATATATGTACATGGATGTAAAAATGTATATATACACATATCCATGTTCATGTATGTTTGTATATATAACATACATATAATATACATATAATATTAGATATTTTTTTGGTATAACTAAGCTATAATGTATTTTTGTTTACAGAATATTTAACTCCAAACACAACACGTATTTTAAATAATCTATATCATTTTATACTGAAAATACTATCAATGTACAAAGCATAAAGATCAATATGTATATGAACACTTAATATTTCCCGTTTTTAAAAGTAAAACCTATAGGAATCTATGTTGAAGTAACGTTCATCATTGATGGGAACTGTGACGACTGCGGGATGGTTTTGATGTTGAATGCATATGTCAGGTGGTGTTTACTTTATGTGCTGAAATATATGCGCAAATACATATAGAAATAGCGATAAAAAAACTATATTATTGAATAATTATTAGTATATAAGTTAAATTTGTTTTTAAACCACCAGTAAATCCTTACATGAGACTGGTATCCTGAGAGCTGCATCATCTCGAATGAGACATTCATGCGTTTGAGTATGGAAGAGATATTGTACCAAAAGCTGTTTATCTTCTCCCACACATGGATCGTAAAATCCGGGCAGTTGGCTCTGTAGTAGCAACGTTTAATTATTAATATTTCAAGTTGTATTTTGGAAATTTTACATAATTTTTAGGTAAAAAAGTTTATCGTATAAATCTCGTTTGTATGATTCAATAATTAATAATTAAAATTATATAAAAGTTTAGAAGAAAATACCTTAGATGCTTTGTGAAGAATTAATTTCGAATCCTTAACTAAACACTGCAAAGGAATCGTTACGTCTATCACTTCATCCCTATGCCCGCTTTCCTCCGCGACACCTCGATCTTGTTGAGGATAAACGAACCGACCGTACAGAGCTTTAGTAATAATCAATCCTTTCTTAGATTCTTCCTCAGCTCTTATTCTGCTAACGGTTTCTTTCATTAATTCGGTGGCGGCTTTGGCTTCTCTTTGTTTCTCCAGCATCCTGGATTTGTTCAGCTCTCTCTGCTTTTCCTTTTCACGTTCCTTTCGCTCCTTCACAACAGGATCGATAACAAGTTTCTTAACAACCGTCCAAGTAATTATCGGTGCTACAGTTGCGTAAAAGATGGGAGCCGGAAGAATCTCGTCGCAGAGGTGAATGGGAAACGTGTATGCCTGCGAGGCGCGACTTAATCTGATTTTTAACGTAACACCAGTTGGCACTCCGACGCGTACAGCTGCCGAGATTGAACTATGTTTGGTAACTTTTTTTTCCGCACCATACTCGAGAAATACACCAAACGTTCCAACTCTGTAGATATATATAAAAGAATTATAAAAACTCGATTATGAAAAACTTTTAAGATTACACTACAAAGTGTTGTTTCACAATACTAACTTAACGCTACCACGAAGCTGGAGTTGCTTCTCTTCCATTTTATAAGTATAATTAAGACTAGCAAAAGAGTGTAAAAGCCCAAAGTGTATAGAGAGAGCCGTATACGATCGAGATGTATCTCTTACGATCATGGTGCTCATAGCATCCTGAATGCCAGCTCTATACGTGAGATATCCTACTGTGTGCTTATCTAACTGCATAGCAAGAGCTGTGAAAAAATTTATCTTGTTATTTTTTTTAAAACAATTTAAATATCTTTGAAAAAATAATATATATTTTACTCCTAAATGTAGAATGTCATTGTGTTCACAAGTGTGTATGATTGTGCGAACCTACTTCCTACATAACCAACTTTCACGCCATGTGACGAAAATTGAAATATTGTTGCTCCATTGCAAAACAGTCGTTTCGTTAATGTGCGAAATCCCTTGAGGGAAAATGTTGGGCCATTGCCAGCCCCTACTTCGGCTTCCACCCAGCCTTTCGAAGATATTAATCGTTTTGCCGAGATATTAATTGATCCGGAACCTGTGCCGTTTTGAGTTCCGAGTTGACCAGACATAGTCACAGTATCTCTTAAAGTGAGTGGTGCTTCGATGGATTGCGTGAATGACATTCCGCTGACTTCAACACGCGAGAACAACCCGTTGCTGAAAGCAAAAGCTTTATTTAAATATTACGAATTAAAAACTTACAAATTAATCAATTCAATAACATTAATAATTATACATGATTAAATTCGATTATTTTATCATCATAGCTTAGACTTAATCTATCTTACCCATCATTGTAATCTTCATCATATTTACTGAACATATCGGTGGCATTGATGTTTACCGTTACAGAGCCTTTAGGATTGGTATTTTGTTGTAACCTTCTCTCTTCCCTCTCTCTTGCCAGTCTTTCATACTCCTCTCGAATCTCTTGAGGTGTTTTTGTACGCTGTACAATTTCCCATCCTTCTGTTTCTAGTCCACGAATTCCCAGCGAGTCATAAATGGCTCTTTTATGTGGATCGCTCAACACTACAATATCAAGTACCTTTGAGATTCTACACAATTATACAGTAAGTATAAAAAATATAATACATGTAACATATATTTGAATTTTTTGGGAAATAAACCTTAACATATACATCAATTAAAACTTGTACTTTACCCTCATAAGCCTTTTTAGTACGATTAAAAAGAACTTCCGCTTCCTTTTTAAGGACTGGATTAGTATGTTTGTCAGGATGGTAAAGCCTACTTTGTCTACGATATGCATTGCTAATATCTTCTGGATTGGCCTGAAATATAAAAAGCAAAAGTTATTCAGAAAAAAATGGTGTACACAATTGTTTCATCACTTGCATCATGCATAAAGATTTTATGAAAGAGACCAAGAAAGATTAATTTATAAAATAATAATATATATAATATACATAAGTATTTATTTGCACATATAATGCAAAATTTATGGATTTATCTGTAGAAACATTCTGTAATAATATAACCATTTTTCACACAAAATTTAGGCTTAAAAAGATAGAGAACGAAAAGAAAATAGAAAATAAAGTATATATTTGAAAACGCTGACATTGTATTTCTAAACACTTAATTCACAAATTTCATTGGAAATTTGCATCAGCTGTAAAAAAACTGAAGAGTTGTTTGTCACAGTCGGGTATGTTACGTCAGCGTTAACAAGAAGGTGTCACGTGGAGGGCTCGGAGTCGATCTCTACCCCTTGAACCGGGTAAAATTACGAGACCACTGTAATTAGATCGTAGTTTTCTCACATTCCGGGAGATATTCAGGAACGTGTAATAGTCGTCCTCGATCGTGGTTTCCTGATCACTATCGTCGTCCATTTTAAAACCTGTGAATTTTGCGTTCAACGGTTCAACAAGCTCTGGCAGAATTGAGCGCTCGTATTTTCTCAGCTTTTTATAGGTTACGGCGAACGAGAAAACAGCTAGGCCGGTAAATGTTGCTTTCTTCGGACTTCGTCAGATGACGCTCCATACTCGAAATTGCGGAGGAAGAAACCTCCGAAGATTACATCGCAATTGACAGCGTTAGATTATCGACGGCTGTGTAACTCAACAATTTTATTATAACGATCTTAAATGATATATACGTTTTGCAGTTGTTTTACACATAATACACTTACAATAAAGCTATACGCTGTAAACAGGAAAATCAAGAGAGTGTCTCGCATTAGGTATCAAGTTCACGTATGTATAATATGACTTAATAAATTAATCATGTGTGAGTGTATGTGAGTGAATATACATGTACAAGCTTAATATTTACATTAATTTTATTTACATTAATTTTAATACATATAAGCACAAATAAATAATATATCATACAAATGTAATAATAAACTTTATAATTCCGTTGAATTAATTACTCGATCAAATTAATTGGAGTTGGTGAAACAAACAATTTTAGTCTTATATGTCTAGAGTAAATGCGAGTTACTGTACATCATTCGATTTGCTATTTTATATATATTATATTACATTTTATAGAAACATTAAATTTGTGCAATACAGTCTGAAATCGGTTTTATTTCAGAGTTGAATTAATTAATTTCAGACTTCGATAAACATGCTTCCGACACAGTTCTCTCTCGATTGACTTATTCGTGTGCGAAAGGAGCTGTATATTATTTTGTTTTCTTGCCAATCGTTTGACGCGGATGAGTGTAAGGGAGAAAGAAGAGAGAGAAAGAGAAGGAATTTTTACGAGCCGGGTATCGCACCGTCGTGGCAGGCTACGAGGGCAACCAGCGAAGGGCCCCCGCGCTCGTGCACGTAACGTCAGTCGTCGGTAAAGGGTAATATTGTGCGACGGCGGGTCAGCTTTAACGTAAACATTTATGCCTCGTGGCAACGCTAAAATATGAAGCCGTTGCTCGCACGACGGGATTCCAAAGTGTCTTACATAGTGTCTAGGTCTTAATTTTCAAGATTTTTCTACACACAAGACAATGTCCCGCATATATACTTATGTGTTTATATATATACACATTTTCCGATCCGATATATAGTTTAATATATGTGTTTACAAATAAATTTATCAAAGTTAATAAAATGTCACTATATACACTGCTACAATTAATTAATTACTACAATCAGATAAAAGAACTATATAGACATTTTATATAGGTTGTTGACTAAAGAAAGTGCGAAATATTGTAGAACAATTACTGATCGTACATACGTAAATGTTTCGAGTACAAAAGAACATACGAAACGGGAGGAGCTTCCAGTCACGACTATGGTCCGCTGTAGCGTTCCGTCGCGCGGAACGTGACCGCGTGGTAATCGCTCCTGTCTCGCCTCGCCGCGACAAACAAACGGTTATAAAACGGCAGTAAAACCGAAAAGGTGAGACCGAACACGCGAGAGAGAAAGAGCGGAAAAGAGAGGTCAAGTTTAGCCCGAAGAGAGAGCCAGTTTGCTTTGACATTGCCTAATCAAAACAGGGACTCCTTCTCGTATTTCTTTTAGAGGGTATGCTACTTCTTTATAAGTATGTCGAAGGACAAAAAGCTGTGTTGCTTTATCGATGGTTTAATGATTTTGCTCGGTCTCTCGCTGAAGGATCGATATGCAGATCACGCACGATCTTTATCTTGACAATTAAAAAACAACTTGGAATAAAAGTTTAACACAAGTTGTGAAAGTTGAAATATCTATTAATATTGAGCACTTGGAATTTTTATATAAATTTTTCTCGTAATATTCAATCAAAGTTCAACAACAAAGTTCATATATCGATTACGTTTGTACGTATAATATACATATTTTCACATTTTTATTGTACCATTAAATTTTTAAAAAGCGAGTCCAACCTCATTTTTTTTTTTATTATTCTACTTAAAAGTATTACTCTCACGAGTACCTATATATGTTCAAAATAAGAGAATTTAGAACACGAAAGACAATGAAATAAATATCGGTTTCTCTACGTATATATATTGCACGGATCAAATAAAGAAAAAAACTTCAAATCGGACAATCAGATTTAAAGGGTTAAATATCGTTCTCAACCAACTTGTCGACGATAACGCAATAGCGAACAAAACGGCGGGAGTGATACGAACAATCGAACGCGACCAGCCGGTCGATGTTGCTAAACACGGTCATTGTGCCGGGTTAACAATACCCCACTATATCAGCAACATCGGCGTCCATAAGTCCCAGTATTCGATCAACAATTCGCGCACTCGGCCATTGCAGCTGTTGAAAAATATCCGGCCGCGCTTGACCACCGTTGTTCCCATTTGTTTCCCTTCCTGTCGCCAAACTCGCGTGATCCGTCATTTCCGCAAAATCTCCATGAAGCTGCTCTTCAACTGAAAAATCGCGCCCGCAGAAACGAGCAATTTGAGAAACAGAAGTGCGTATTTATACATTATGCAAAAAAATCTGTCTCTGCGTATCTTTTTCTCTATTTGTTTTTTATGAAAAATTTTACATCTTTTTGGAAAATCATCTATCTATAGAAATAATATACGTGAGCATGTGTTTTTCTCACGTGCGTCGTGATTAAATCTTTCAATGTTACTTTTCAAAAACAAAGACGCATTTTATTTAGACCTTCGAGAGAATTTCAAACAGCAAGTTGTCACTTACTGCAGCTCATGTAAGTGCAAGATTAGTGTTCGTTACATTTGCGCACATGTTCTTTCCACAAGAAATATTAAAGGAAACTATTTTTGTACTTCAGATACTAAATGCATGCAACAAAGATATCAATTGTGGTTCTATTTCCACTATCTTTCTGCAATCATATATTTCGTGCGATATATTCGCGCACAAAAGCTGACTTGAAATTAAGAAAAAAACAGAAATCGTGTCCGCGATCACGATTTGAGAAAGGATGACGAGTTTGCAAAATCGAAGGCTTCATCTCGCATTAAATGACCAATTTAACGTTTCTTTCTGGCTTGGCGTATGTTGTATGTACATCGGTGCGATTCGCGAAAGCTCGCGTGGAGTCAAGCGGACCGAATGCGAGTGCGCGACGAGTCAATATTCCGGAACGAGCTTTCGGCCAATCGCGCACAACAGCGCAGCTCGCAGATACCGCCCCAACATGGCGTCGCTCGTTTCCCCACTTTCTGTCGGGGTAATCCGTTTACGCGACATTTCAGAAGCTATCGTAGTAGCTTCTTCTTTTATCGACACGTTATTCTCCGGTTCGGACTGTCCTTTAATATGTTTTCCTGCACGCGTTGCAGCAACAAAATGTATCATAAAATCCGTATACGCACATACACCGCTGTCTTGAATATATTAAAAATTTCATACACAGAACAGTTTGGTATAATAGAAGCATTTTTAGTGAGTACTTTTTCCTTTTTGTAGATTTCCCCTCAATTTTACATTTTATTTTCTCTGCTTTTTATGTAAAACCACACAGTAGTTCTTTATGATATGAAACATTTGTAAAAATCTTGTTTGTCATTATTGGTCGCATGACATTATCGAAAATTTAATTCAACTATGTATTCAATTACGTATATGTATACGCACTCACGTAATTTTGACAGCATAAGCGATTTCCATAAGTGATCTCGTTCTCCTGACCTTAATTAGTGACATCAATTTTAAGCGATCGAGCAAAAAACAATTGTTGCCTAATGCGCCTCGCAAAGTGCGACGTAAGCGTAATTATATAATTTTCGTAACTGACGTTCAGTCTTAACTCACGATTCTCGCGGATTGCACAGATGCTACTTGTTGAAATTGTTTAAAAATTTTCATGTTGTGACGTATTTAAGTATATTGGCAAAAAATGGTTCAAATGTGAAACTTTCAAAGACATTTCTTTGAACAAATTATATAGAATAATTTTCGATATACATATAAAGATAAAAGAGCAAAGATTTGATCATTTTTATATATAAAATTACTTTAAGCGCAAAATTTGATAAGTTTAATATCAAAAATTGAAGAGTTTTAAGAAATCCATTTCCGTCAAAAATGTATAATATATATTTTTAATAGTTAGTTAATTTTTTAGTTCAATATAGAAAAACAGCCATACACTTGTTTTACTTTATGTATGGGTAAAAGCAATTTGTATTTGATCATTTGTATTACTGTTTGCACTAGCGCTCTATTAATGCAATTGCAACATTATATCCACAAAATCATATTTGGAACACGCAATTATACAAACAATACAAGCATCTTGTTTGGTTCCGATGGCTTTGATATTATCAAATATTTCTAACAGAATAATATCAAATGTTTTATCAGTCGAAATGCTTGCACGTTAGTCATTTGCGTGTAAACACTTCACACAACTTAACATATAAAACTTCATTTCAATTTTACAATGTTGGTTGTACAGTGTACTCTAATATACAATAATTGTTCTTTTCTTTACACCTTTTGGACTTTATTTTCAAAACTTCGCTTTTCTTTTCTTTAACAAATGAATCTATGTAGACATCAACATGTATTTTTATTTTGTAAAAAAAAGTGTGAGAGCACACAAGAACCGGACCTATGTGACATAACCGAATTTGCGCGAATTGTATTTTCAAGGATATATTTCGCTTTTCTCTGTCCCTTTTTCGCGGTTGAAGTTCGATCCGGCATGCGACCGTACGCGAAGATGCGAATACACGAAGATTACAATAACTTCTTTATGTCCGTGGTTGGCCGATCGTGCCGAGGAGGGCGGTCTGAAGTTAACTGCAAACGCGAACGTCTCCGCCTACCATCACGTCGCACACGCGCGGGCGCGAACTGGTCGCCGCCGATCCGGTTGCGTCTCTTTCGCTCGCTGTCCAGTGTCGATCTCGACTCTCGCCTCGGTTTTCGTTCTGCAACGCTCTCGCGCGCTCCTTTTTCGCGACGGTCTATTTTGCTTCGAAAGATTTCCGCGATCGCGGATTCAGTAACGTTATTGAATACATCACAGAGGGAGAAAAAGAGAAAACGGCAAATCTTCAGTGAACACACAGAGAGTAATTAGGACTTAAAAGGATTCTCACAATCGGAAGGAAATTCAGCAGGTAACGATGCAATAAACATTGTGTTATTGTTTGAACTATACAATTTCTGTTAATGACACTACTCGTACGAAGCGGCTGTCCTTTGCCTGTCTAAGAAAGAGAATTGGATTTATCACTTGAGGAATTTGCACAAAGAATAAACTCTCCGCGTAAGAAAAATAGAACGGTTGCTACGTGTTGCGACTCTGTTAGGTTATTAGCTGGATGACAGTTGAATGAAATCAACTGTGAGAAGACCGTCCTCACATTGTGACTTCTCTTTGTACATCACGTGATATCGAATACAAATATCACTGAGCTAACATCTCGCGCGACATGAGATTGCCGTCGTGGTAGCAGAAATCGTGCAGGTTCGCAATTTATGGGATGTGATGGAGATGTACCGCGACAACACAAAACCTATCGGATAGTAATTGGCGTGTGTCTTGCGGAATGATACGGGGACTTAATTCGAGCTAACTTTTTTCACGGACACTCCTGCAACTGTTTTAACCCTCCAGTCAGCGTGAGAGTGAAATTTGATTCAATCCTTTCGAAGACATAGATCACAAATATCGACAGTAACAAATACGTTAGTGTATAGAAAGCTGTATGTATTCTCGACGCAAATTCCTGCGTTACACGTGAGACGCACAAACTATATCGCTATTGGAAAGCTTTCGAGCAACAGACATTACATTACACGTGTGTCATATACAGATTAGAAACGCTGTGTGGCGCGTTTCTGGGAATTTGCTAGATCGCGTGACACATTGTACGTTGAGTTTTTTGTTAGAAAGTTTCGATAGCTCCGTCTGTCTCGAAAAATGAACAGGCGTAGTCGTTTTAACAAGAATCGATGCTACAATGTAAATTGATTGACGTTAATCTGAATAATTAATCAGTCTATAATCGGCAATACGTGGTAGAAGTGAGGAATAAATAACGTACTTAAGAATCTCGATTGCATTATTATATGTGCGTGTTGGCGCGCCGGCGACGAGAGAGAAAGCGAGTAGCGCGCCGCGACACGAGAGAAACGAGATGAATGAAAATCCGCTTTATCGCGCTCGTAAAGCCGAGCAGCGAGGAATGAACGAGGAAGCGGTCGAATCCGTCGCTCGCGTGCCGTCGCAAAGAATTTTTCGTATAACACTTTTGAGACTATCTTTTAAAAACAAACAACGATTTGTAGAGACCCGAGACACCACACAGTGTTTACTAAACAAAGCGAGATAATATTACTTCTTTGTGCTGCGTGCGTGCGCGCGACCGAAGATAAAGCCCAAGATTTTCCTCATTATGTTAAAAATGGTAGTTGGCACGATTGACGCGTCCGCGTGGCAGATATACAGAATATCTACGCGAATATTATATTTGCGTGCGTTTTATTAATATTTGTATAGGTAATTACCACGGTTCTATATGTTATGTGAAAATTGACTTGTCAATTGTAGGTACACACAGAAACATATGTGATTCAAAAGTCGCGAGCCATTTGGAAACACCGAAGGTGTGGAATATATTCATGAAAACGTAAACATCCAGTTTCACTGATAGTAGACTACGAGAAACGTAAACATCCAGTCCACTGATTTTAGCGGAATGTTTGTGTATTCTTTTATCACACGCACACTCACATTTGTGACCTCTCTCGTGCCTTTTATCGTTCAAAATCCTCTCGGCGGAATGGAATCGCGGATTATGAATTGGCGAAAATATGTAACACCATTTAAACAAACACAATAATCTAATCGCGAGAGCAAAAGAGAGAGAGAGAGAGAGAGATAGCATAAAGCGATCTGTCGGTCAACACAATTATAAATATATCTCCACAATCCCAATTACTTACATAAACGATGATAAAACGCTTCATTAATTCGTAATCATCGCTCCTCTCGTTGAAAAAATTGCCAAAATATCACGAAGCGTTTAATTAGAATTAACTATTGTGACAAAAGAAGAGAAAAGAGAAGACGACCGAAAAATCGTAAACAACACCGTGGGCACGGCCGCACTGATTGCTTCGATTTACAACAGCGACGACGAGTTCTCTCGTCCGTTTTCGCCGGAAGTCCCGATGAGTCCCCGGGGAGACTGTGTAGACGAAGATCCTTTCCTGCCGTCGGTCGTCACTAAGGGCGCTAAGTGGCTCAGCTGTTGCGCGCTTGTCATCCTTCCGAGATGAGAGACCATCAGTCGGCGCGGCGGTCTTACTCTGGGACGACGCCTCGTGCCGGCGCTTTTCTTAATGAAAATAGTGCGCCGGCCGACGGCCGAGTAGTGTGTCACTGTCACTCCGAAACACATTAGAACCCGGGTTTCGATACCGAACATCGTTTCGACTATATATTTCTCTTCATCCGTCGCGTCTTTCCGAGGAGCAACCGCGGCTTTTCTTGTCGACTTTGATACTCGAGTTAGTGTTTTTCGACACGCTATGTCTCAACGAGTCTACGCGTAGACTTCGACACGATAAGATATGTATCTATTATACGGAAAGATGAGATTCTTGACTAATGAATATTTTGTGTTTATTTTAATCAGATCAAATTTGTGAACACTTACGTAAACTACTGTATGCGGAGATATTATCTCTTATCAATTATGTTACAGAGAGAGTAGATTGGAGTTTTATTTTGACACTTGAAATATATATGTATTGAAATTGTTGATGAGTCAGCTGACCCAATTCCGTGCGGTTGCGATACATAATGATTGATTCAGCTTTTCATCGCAGATTATTATCGGGAACGCTGATTGAATGTGATGTGTGGTTTTTTTGCTCTGTTACAGATTTTGTATTTCGAAATTGGTCTCTCGCCGAGAGATTACGTTCCGTCATCTGCGTGAAGATTATAGAAGAAGAAACGCGCGCGAGATAATCCTAGGATGTACTGTCTCATCGTGCTGCGCAAGCAAAACGAGTTCTGTAGCTTCTTGTAAAACGAACATGTACGATCTTGTGTGATTTGTGTCGTTTACGAGTGTCTCGCTTGATTTCTCGTGGAACTTGAAGAGCATGAGACAGAAACGATTACTCGATTTGAAATAGTGTCAGTGATATAAAAGTTTTGGAATTCCCGCGCGGAACGTTATCTCGGGAAGAAGATTTTTTTTATCGGAGATACACACGGTCTTCGTCGGCAGTTGCAATTGTGGAGAGCCCGATCGGTGATTGGGAGGAGTTGCAGCAACAGCAGCATCGTGTAAATGTAGTGGCGACGGCCGACGCCTTTATGAATTACACGTCCGTGGACAGGTCCAGAATGGTATCGCACATCGTACCTGTTTCTGGGGTAAGTTGGAAACCCATTCGCATGTATTTGCAATATATTTTTGTTCAAGGAAACTTGGAACATGAATTGAACGAATTTATTCGGTTATAATATTTTTTTGTCTTATTATAATGCAGTTCTTATTGTTATCACTGAAGAAAAAAGTTGACTTTTACAGATTCACGGATTTTTACAGATATAAGAAATATAAATTTGCACACACGATATATCAAACGTAAAAAGCATTGTTACCTTATTTGTGTGTATGATCTTCTTGACGAAGTAAACGGAAATCTATTATTCTTTTATATCATCACTCTGTCGGTTATTAGATAATTTTTTTCATTGGGTGTCTTTTTCGTCTCGCGGCGCCGACGTAAAAGAGACAGGCTTGACATGAGACGCTCTCCGTTATCTTTCAACAGAGAAACAAAAAAAAAAAAAGAGTCGGAGGTCGTGATCTCGAAAATTTCACAACGACTCGGCGAGATGTCTTCGCGCAAAGATCTATTTCTCGATATAATTTTGCACAAAATCTCAGAACTCGTCCTAACGACGGTCTATATATCTATCGAAGTTACATTATTATTTGTTTATCTAAGAATAAAGAGAAAAGAGTATAAAAGGAGCAATTGTGTGAACAGAACTCTCTTCTTCTTGACGCGTCCTCTGATTTGTTGAATAGAACATTGATGAATTTTATTATCATCAATATGTGACATCGCGTTGCTCGCAATATGTTATTTCTTTCCGTCGTGATCGCTGAATGGATTAATAAAAGTGGGTTATCGTCATTTCATCGATTAATCGGAGGTCATAATCGACTTCGCGAACACGAGCTAAAAAATCGATCGCAGCTTTAATTATTTGCCGGTTACTGTTTGATTGTACGTTTTCAAGGATTTCAACAAAGAAATTGAACATAAGAATAGACTGTTGAATTTTTATCTATCGGAGACATTATTAAATTGTTTGCTCATTTATCAAGTATACAAAAATCGAGATTGATGTTGTTGACCAATTTTATTAATCAACTTGATATGAATTTTTCGATAAAACTGTCAATACGCGTTTTACGCTTTTTTAAATTTGTTTTCGACAAATTTATCATGTCTACAAAATTTAACGCGCTTCTATCGAAGCTGCGATAATAACATGCACTTTTCTGATCGTTGATCCGTGTCGATCTCTCGTAATTCAATACGAGAATTTTGAGTGTCCACGCAAAAATCAATATGTAATATAATTATACATGAAGATTTACGAAGTTGCAAATTTCAATCGGAAACGATAAGATTTCTTATGTTATTTTTGGCCCAAATTATCGTAATAAACTATATTTGCAAATCACGAACTATTTTTTTCTCTTTTTATCAGTATGTGATAATTTTGCTACTTATAATTTTAAAACGCAAATATATCCTCACATAAAAATTGTTAATGTATAAAACTTGTTGAATTATCTGTATCGCGTATATATAATTCTCTCTTTTTCGCTCTCTACATTTCTTCCTTTATCTCCTCTTTTATCTCTTCTAGAATATGTTTAAACATATCGGGGAAAGGGAGAAGATCACTTGTTTCTGTGTCTTTACTCAACTATTTGCCGACATTTGAAAGAGAGCAATACCGAAATTCATCGTCTACTTGATGATTCGCAAAGTGACCTAGGAGTCTCGTAAAACCGGATCGCAAATTAACGATCTAGCGAGATCGTAAGTTTTGCTCCAGCATAATACGATGTCACAACACCGAGTCGGTGTTTGTAAGCTTCCGGTGACGGCACTTCAAACATCGCAAGAACATCAAGCCAAAAGTCTTTTGGCCTGTCGTGTCTCTCTTTATTTCTCTCTTTTTCTTTTCTGGTTTGTTCAGGGAAAAATATTCTTTATTTCTGCTTACGTCGATGATTTCTCAGTTCGTTTACCCTCGTCATTTGAATTACTACTATACGGAATTCTACTATATTTTAAAATGAACTGAATCTGCGTTTCGGCGATGTCGTCATACTTTATAGAAGATTTATGCTGCGCGCGCTACGATTTTCCAAGCCTCTTCTCGCAAAATATAGTTTCCAATTCGTCACATATGTTCGCACACGTTACTTCTGTGTTATATACAATTCTGATGTATTTATTTGCAAGTGACAAGTAAATTTATACTTTTGTAACTAATGCTATACAAGATTCAAAATGTGACGAGATTTCTGCATGCGTGTGCGCGCCTGACTGTATAATGTTTGTATATAAAATGACCTCACGTGTCATCACACACAATATCGATTATTTATTGTTACACTATATAATACGAAAAGAAATGATATACTCATCATACATTCAAAAAAAAAAAAAAGAAATATACGCACAAAGTCTAGCAACGTGAATAATGCGGATATGGTAGAATTATATTATTGTATAGACTCTGAATTATGTAAAAACAAAAATAACATTGTGTCTCGAGTTTGACGTGTGTTTTGTACGCGCAACAGTAAAAAAAAAACAAACGACGAAAAAGATTTATCTCTTAAGTCGGTAACATTTTTAGGAGCTGCAGCAAGGAAATGGCAACCTGAACACCGCAGGACTCGTCGTCATAGATGACGTTCATTCCTTGAAGATCAAACAGGAGCCATTTCAGCTCTCGCCGCCGTCACCTCTACCGTCGCTTCATCAAGGTATGTATTACATTATTTCAATATGTATATATCTTGAAAACCAAATCCAAACAAGTCGCTCAGTTTTATTAAGCAGAAATTCATCAGAATCAAATATGCGTCGCGTTCTAGTAAAAATCGTCGGCTACATATGTTAACTGTTAAAGACCCTTCAATTAATTCCGTAATTGATTTGTCGAGTGAAAGATAAGGTAACGAGAGAAGTAGTATTCGAATACGAATTCTCCAATTTGAGAGACAGTCTCGGCGGAAAGAAGCCGCGCGCGGGTTGTTACTAAAGGCCACACGTTCTAATAATACAAAACCGTAATCTCGCGCACCCGAGAAAGTGTCGTCTCGTCGTCGTTGTCGTCGTCGTCGTCGTCGTCGTCGAGGGAGGGCAGGGTCTTTACGCGAGGGAAGAAGAAGAGACAGAGAGAGTGATATATCGCGAGAGGCCTGTGCACGCGTGAGGAGCCGCGATCTTTCCTCGCGGCGTTTAGTCACACATTCTCTCGTGCGATTATAGTCCTCTTCGAAATCGAGTCGTCGACGGCGCGCTCCTAATTCCGGTACAAATACCTCCCAATAGTACGTTTGACAAAACGGCGGTGACAAAAAACGCGTATACGATTTAAAATTTATAGTAACGTTCGACCTCAACCGATTATATTCCGTTCGTCTTCGAGAGAATAACTTATTGTTGTTATCGCGTATAATACGAACGCGCATTCTTCTCATTCTTCGTCTCCAACGAGACATCGTGACTGCTTCTTGACACGGTTCTTTTCTCGACAATGGTCGACTATCGCCCCGGTATACGATCGTCCCCTTCAGGCTCGTGTTTCCGTACGCGATCGCTGAGTCGGTCGGCAAGGAACATTTACAGAAAGGATAATAGGAAGAAGAAGGAGAGCAAGTGTGAGAGAGAAAATGATAACAGTCAAGCTCTCTTTCGTCATCGGGATCTCGTGTTACGGGATTTTATTATTCGCTAATCGCTGAATGTCCGCATAAATAGATAGGCCGAGATACGCGATAAATAAGTATACGCCCGGCGGCTTCGCCGACATGAACTTCTCGGCGCCCGGGTTTTGATCCCTTACAGCGGTGAAATCTTAGACCGAGACTTATCGCTGTTCCTTTTCCTGTGCTGCAAATTCGTCGAGATTACGCGTATCGTCGAAAGGTAATAATTTCGAGAGCGAGTTCGAGATAAATTTATCGGAAGACGGTATATACGCAAAAGATCACTCGCGAAGAATATGCGAAAGTCAAAGGATGAAGAAAAAACTTGCAATAATTTCTCGCGTTGTAGATTAAATATATTGATGTTCCCCATTCGCTTATATGCCGATCACTTAAAACAATGTTAGTATTAAATTTAATACTTAATAAAGGATAGTGTTACATGTCTGGTATCAGATTTAATATTAGATGAAAAGTTGATATTAACTTTAATAGATAATATCAAAATTGTAAATGTAATATACAATAACGAAATTAGTTTTATATAAAATATATTCAAATTTTATAAATAAATATAATAGTATTGATGACAGAGTGAAATATGTACGTGTGAAGGGAAAATACGCGTATAACACAAGAAAAAAATTTTTATAACGATATGCAATCTCAAAAACTAATAATTTTTTAAAATTGTGTCGAAGATACACTTACAGCAGACTCGTTTGTTTTGTAAAAACAAAAATAGATGTGTCAATTGTGTGAAGTTCCGCGTGATGCGCGTTTGATCGAGTTACTAGCTCGCATTCTATGTTGTTATAGAAATTTGTATGCGCATGTTCGTCGTTTTTAAGCAACGATTATGCGCGGCGCAAGTTTATCGTGGCAATAAAGGCCGCACGATAAAGTCGTACAAAATAGCTGACACGTCTAATTATAGAGTAGCTGATTATCGCTTAAATGCTGATCTAATTAGTATTGCGCGTCGGGCACTGGTTAATATTATAGTCCATTATATGATGATGGAAATGTAAACGCGCTCAGGCGAGTAACTGTTTTTCTTGAGATTGCAAAGATATTACCGTTGTGTACGCATGAAAAAAATATAATGTATATTTTTCTTAAAGGAAAATTTTGAGTTTTAAAATTAAGAGAGGAAAGTTATATTATTGCTTGTGTCTACAAATTTTTAAATGTATTCTTACGCCATTGTTTTTGCAGGTTTTGACTGTTTTTGAACATTTAGTCTTTCTGCGTTTTAGTTTGTTTTTTACACGTTTTTCGTGTCATAATTTATAGGTTATATAGTTTTCAAACATACAAATAAACACTTAAATCTTGCAATTAATTTATTTATTGAGAAAAGTGTAGATCGGTGACCCTGTTTATTTACTTTGAAATCAGGTCACGAATGTAATCGTCGTGTATTTTGCAAAACAAACGGAGTTCGTAGTAAACAAGAGGATAATCGGTTTCGAGCAATCGCTAATTTCGCGATAAGCGAGTAATGCGCGCGAACGTTATCGCGCGAGCGGCGTTACGTTTTCTTGCTGCAGTATTACAGAAATTGACAGAAGCTGCCAAAGTTCTACGATAAGCTGCGTAATGCTGGATGGATGTGTATTACGCGATATACTTTGGCAAGGAAGAAGTACGTTGAGATTTGAAACTGATGAAGCCAAATTAAAACTCTAAGAACGCGAAAAGATTTGATAACTTTCTGTTAATGATCTTGTGTATGTTCTTTGTTCTATTCAACTAAAAAGGTAATAACTGATATTTGTAAAGAAATTTGTTTGCTACTTTGCGCATAGGAGAAATTCACTATATTCTGTATTTAAATTTTTATGTGTTTATTAATTCGAGACGACACGCAACAATCGTCGGCATGACAGAGAAGTGTATAAAAAGAAACATTGCGCGAATGATAGAAAGAAACTAATGAAATCGACGAACCGAGTCGCGAGGACGCTGGTCGAGCCCCTAAAAAAATATCCACCTGAGAGAGATATTAATATCTAACATATATTCTCGATTATAAGTACAATTCGTCTTCGTTCTTTTGTTTTCGTGTTCTTGCAATCGCGGCTGCGCGCAAAGAAGCTTCTCTTGACTAATCAATGTTCCGAAATGTCAATTACAACGCCTGTGTGAAATAGCTTTTCTTCTTCTGGATCGGACAAATTTACTGTTGCAAAACGTTGTCGTTATTGTTTCGAACGAGAACAGTATCGGCTTTTTTTTTTATTTATCAAGCCAATAAAATAAATTTTATCAAACAGCGAAGAAAGTGAGCGGAGACAGATCTGAGACGGTCGAAGTGCTTATTTTCTTTTCTTTATGCAAACGCGAATTGCGTAAACCGAAAGATCCCGAGTTGTGCGCGATTCAAAACGTAGTCAAATGAACAGAAACGCGAGTCCGAGTGTTGGCGCGTATGCTTTTCTCTTTTCTTGCCTCGTGACGACGACGACGCTGAGGTCGAGATTGGCTCACGCGGAAGATATCGCGAGATAAGGCCGTCCGTCGCCAAGATGACCCTCTGGCCCCCGGGGCTTCGCGAGTCTGCCTTTTATTCCCAACAAGGCTTCCTCCCCTCTGATCTCTAGCACGATGATGATGACGACGCGATTATCCTCTCGGAAATTTTTGCCTCTCGACCAGCGCAATAAAATTTCATGCAATTAACATCGGTACTTCAAGTGACGCAATTGATTATTTTATCTTCTAGTGTGTATGTATCACTTTTGTCGTTTCTGTCGAGTAAGACGTTTTTAAAAGAGTACGCGAAGGAATGAAAGAAAGAAAGAGAGAAAGACGGCGAGCTGCCGACGGGGTATCGGATTTCTATCGCGAGCCAAGAACTGCCGCCGCGAGGCCCTCGAGAGCTGATTTGACTTCACCCTCATCATCTCTTGTGTCTCTTTTTTCTTTCTTTCTTTCTTTCTTCTCTCCCTTTCCTCTCGCCCCTGTTTATCGGTGATTTGAATTTCTCTTTGCACAAAGTGCCACGGTATATATATGTAAACATAATGCAAGTGAGAGAGATAAAGAAATCTCTCATTAGCCGACTGTTTTAAATAACGAACGCTTTGTATAAATCTACTGTTTTATTTTTTTTTTCTATTAATTTTTGTTTTTTTACGTTAAACTGGTTTGAACGCGTGTTCTTTTGTTTGGTGTTGATATTGATATTAAAATTGTTTGTACGTAAACAATTTTGTGCGGTTCCATCTCGGAACACACAATTAAAAAGAACTCGGATCACATTTTTAACAACACATCCGATATTAATAAAAGTACTGTATGTATTTATAGAGCGCATTCGTAACCCTAATTGTACTCCGATACTTGGTCACGTGTTTTTTCCACTCCCCTTGTTTCCCTCGTCCCGCGCCACTTGATCCTGCGAGCATATTAGCTGGTAGCGAAATCCCCATTACCCGTGATATTCCAAACGCGCGCGTGCACCGCCTAATTGAGGCCAGTCAGCAAATTAATTAAACGTGTAATCAAACACACACGCGGGGGGAGATGACGGAATTGATAAAAATAAAAATCTTTAACATTGTGAATTACAAGAGGCGGAAAAAAATACAAGAAGAAGACAATGTTTTGTTGCCATAATTTGTGACGAATAATCTCGAGAGTTCGGGTTCATTAAAATTTTTTGTTAAAAACAATTCGCTAAAATTTCCTGAGATATATTTGCGGGTGTTGTATATCTTTATGAATGATTCAAGAAAAAATTCAGATAAAAAATGTTCTCAAAGCTGTGAAAGAATTAATCAGCGACAATTTACAAAATGTTTATATCTCACGCGCAAGTGACTCGTATACGAATAATCCACTATCAATAGCGAGAAATATGCTGTCGTGTATTCGTACACGCGTGCGTACATACACACGAGTGGAAACATAACGCGTGCTCTGTGTAGTACACGTCAGGAGCTGTGCATGCACGAAGGAGAGAGAGAGAGAGAGAGAGAGAAGACGAGAGCTAGCAAGGAGCATGAGCAAGCAGGCACTAAGATCGCGATAACGTCATAACCCGT